CACACACACACACACACACACACACACACACACACACACACACACACACACACACACACACACACACACACACACACACACACACCCCACTGTGTTCTGGGCTGTTTGTGTTCTGGAAACTGATAAGTAAGTTTCATTAGTTAAGACTGTGAAAATAATCATGATTACAAATTTCTTTCTGAAAGGTCTGACACGTTAAGGTGCTGTATCCTCTCTCTGCAGTGGGCGGTGGACATACTTTTCATTACACGGGTTAATATAATCGTTCTTTGGCGTTCACAGACAGCAAAGAGTGATTGGGCCTCGCCTTCCTCGCTCCCTCAGTTTGGACCCCAATGTCCTCGTCTTTAAATAAGACTCAGCGGACTGAGATCGTGGAACAATCAGTGATTTAAAAAACATATCATACTCAACCAGCCCCTCCTTTGATTTTCTTCATTACACGAGCCGTGTCTTAATAAAATCAAATTATTTCCGCTCACAGGACGCTTTCTGGTGAGAAATTGGCAGAGGGATGTGAGCTGATGTATGGGGAGACAGTCGCCTAATTAGAGCGTTAGAAATTGAATCTTTACAGCACACGGGTCATATAATTATCCTACTGTTAATTTAACGCTTACATTCTCTACTGTTCATTTTTATTCCCTTAAATGCAGTTTGGCAGCGACCCTCACTGCGTCTCGGTGCATGAGAGGAAAGGCAGCGTGGCCCCTAACGCTGGCCCCTCTGTGTGATTGAATAACTACGGACCCTGCAGTCCAAATAACAAGGCTCGCATCATTTATGCATTGTTAAGCCACGTAATTGAAACGAGCCATAGTTTGCATATTACGCCATTAAAATAATGTGCTTTGCGTTTCTCCCAACACGACTATTTAAGCCTGTGTGGCGATGTGGTAATTCCTTGAATTACAGCCTAATTACCACAATGTTCTTTTGATTTGGCCGATTTCAATGTTACACCACAATAATGTTCAATATTACCAGAATGAATTACTGAGCCGTGCCTGGAAACTTTTTCCTGGTATGACTTAAATCCTGGCCTCTTCATGTGCTGTCGGTGCAGCTGGATTCACTCCTATGAAAGATTATTAGCCTCTGAAATGAGATCCATTAAAGGCCCAATCAGTAATACTTAATTGAAGAGCCCGAGTGATACATGGAATACGAGGATTTTGCGTGTGTTTTTGCTCTTCATCATCACTACTCGCTTTATGCTGCTGCGTATTACTGATGTAAACAGACCATCAGAAAGTATTATAGCAGTTGTCCACTGTTTATCTCCGCAATTAAAGACAAGTCTGTGAATCAGGGCTGATGGCAGTTTTCTTTCTTTTTGAAAGTTTGCTGACAAAACATGTATTTACTATACAGCTAACAGTCTTAAATGTATTCTAAGTTGGTTACGTTACTTGTCTTTTGTTCATATTTTGTGGCATAAAAGATCAGAAATGAGAATTTTGGCCACTGAAGCGACATCAAAGCGCAAAGAAAAAGTTGTAGTACAACTTAAATCAGCATATGAATTGAAACTGCAATCCAGGTCATAGAGAAGCGACATTTTGCAATTAGCACTTGCTCTTTGTTGGATGGCCCTGCATTGTTCCCAGACCTTTGTCTATATACACGACATGTGTCCCTGTGTGAACTTTTTGAATAAATTAACATCACTAATAATGATTTGTGAGCGTGAATATTCACCATTTGTGTTTTCGTTGCACGGCTAGAATTTTTTTTTTTTTTGGGGGGGGGGGTGAAAAGTATTTCTTTGATAATTGCTTTTTTATTGCCTCTTAATTTTACTGCAGGTCCAAAGTTATTAAATAAAATGTTTAATTACAGTTTGAGTCATTTGCATACTTTGAAAGTTATAAATTGTGGATATTGAAGAACTGCCTGCATTGATTTATAGGTTTAATTTGTGGCCAGTATGTATGACTTTATTTCTGGTGGACTGAATTGTTGTAGGCCATAGACTAACCAAAGGTACTGTTAATTGCACACATGCAGCAGGAATCATTAATGTCTTCTAACATGCAGAATTACTGCCTCAGAAGTTAGAAAGTTAAACATGTGCCTCTGCCAGTGAAAAATGTCCAAGATGTGTTTGTCATTTTTTTCACAGTTTGCTTTCTCTCAGCGGAGTGTGAGGAGCAGCTTTGAGGACAGACATAATCTCTCTCATCTTTTTTTTTTTTTTTTTTGCTTTTTCTAGCCCTTTCTCCCTCTCAGGGCCCTGTGCTCTTTACTCCTCCCTCCTTTATCCCTGCAAAAGCTTTGTCCCCGCAGTAGAGAGCCTCTCTAAATAGAGGCCTTTAGATAGTCCGGGTGGGGGAGAGCTGCAGCGATGCAACTGCTGTTGTTTCATTTACCTCTCCCTATGGCAACCAGCAGCAGTTGGCCAGGAATGTCCCCTCTCTGGACAAAGTCCTGGTCCCCGAAGCTGACACTGGAGGGTTGGGGGGGGGGGACAGCTGAGACAGGATGGAAACCTGCCCTCCCTGCTCTGGACTAGAGGCCTGAGTTTGGACTTAATCCTCCTCTTCACTTCTTTCTAGTTTCACTTTAGTGGATGACGAGCAACCAGAGAAGGTGTTCACACAATATTAACTCTGTAATCGTTCTATATAAGACCTGAAAATAATTTTGAAATCTCTTTTAGTGAAGTGAATAAGCCTTCGGTACAGTTGCACCATGCTCTAATGGCCCCATATACAGGTTCTTTACAGTGTTGTAAACAGCCATTTAGTCCCTCATAATATCCTTTAAACTGCATTTAATAAGGGCACACTGGATAGAGTTTTATGTCTCTCTTTTTTTTAATCACTAAACTTTGCAAGTCCTCCATGCTATATATGTATAGAGAGAGAAAGCCATAACTTCAACTGGGAGGGGGCTTCCTTCTTTTTATCAGCATGTAGCCTCTCCCACCAAGACAGACTTGTAAAACTCACTTTACAGCCTAGTTGGACACAAAAGTTGATCTGTTTACTTTATGGGCTGTTAAAAGTTTTAAAGTCAAGACAGCTGACCGACATCTACATTTACAAGCCTTCGGTGAAGGGAAAAAATATACTAGTTTACACTTTTACAGGAAAGCATCAGTGTTTGAGGAAGTGCAGCTTGAATAGCCGATGCTTTTAAAGATCCCAGTCCCCATTACCAGCTGCAAAAATCACCTGAGACTGATGCCAGCTAATGGCACACACCTCAGTTTAAGCAGAGCGCAATGTTTTTACCTGAAGACTTTAGATACATTTCAGTCTGCATGGCAGCAAATGTTCAAAAGTTTGTTAACATTTTGTTACTGTCATTTTTTTTTAAATAAAATCAAATTGTTTAAAACATGCCTGAGCTCCTTTCTCTATCAAATATTTCACTTTAGAAGCTTCTTGTGTGACAGATTTGTTACATTTAGTTTCATTCCAATATATGTCATTATAAAAAGTCATTATAAAAAAATGATTGGCTCATCTAAGATATATATTCATCCTCGAGGAGAGACAGCGCAATATGATGCATTTTTCCTGCTTACAGTACACAGACAACTCTGCACGAACAGCAGCAGACATATGAATATGCATGCATTACAACGACAAGCAGAAATGTTGCACTAAAACAAAGATGTCAGACGGAACTAAGCTTTACTGCAAATGTAGACCACACAAAACGCCGTCTAGTCCTTGATGGCACTGAGGGGGGAAAAAGTTATGCGCAAATCAGAAGGGTTCGCACTTTTTCCAGTATTTAATGCCATAAATGTGCATAAAAATCTGAAGTCCACCTAAATTAGGGATTGAATGGTTAAATACAGAAGAGCTCCGGGTCTCCTGGAACTAGACTCCCTGCAGTCTCAGTCTGGATAGAACGAGATTATCAAAGTAAATGAACTGGATCTTACAGCTGCGCTGCTGATCCCGGTGCTCCGTCTCCCCATGCTGCACTCCGGCTCTCCGCTTCCACGGGAGCCTCGGCTCGCACCTCTCCAACAAAGACAGTAGTGTTTGTTGAGACTTCCACGCGGCCAATCGCCGCGCCGTTGCCCCTGGTAACCCCGTCCATCATCCTCCCGTACCCAATGAGCGGCGGGGGGCGGGGCGGAGTCCAGGTGCGCTTCGGCGTCCACTTGGCAGAGCGCCTGGGAGCCGCCTGTGGGCAGGAGAGGTTCTGTCAAATGCGAGGTTCCTTTAATAAGAGCGACCAGTCCGGCTCCGAGAGTCATGGCGACCGCAGCGTCTAACCACTACAACATTCTCACCTCCAGCGCATCCATCGTGCACTCGGAGCCCGGCAGCATGCAGCAAGCCACGGCGTACCGGGACGCGCAGAGCCTGTTGCAGAGCGACTACCCGCTGCAGAGCAACAGCCACACGCTCAGCCACGCACACCAGTGGATAACGGCGCTGTCCCACGGAGAGGGAGCCCCGTGGTCCTCGAGCCCGCTCGGCGCGGAGCAGGACATTAAACCCGCGGTGCAGGGCGCCCGGGACGAGATGCACAATTCCAGCAGCAACCTGCAGCACCAGTCACGGCCGCCCCACCTGGTGCACCAGACGCACGGGAACCACCACGACGCCCGCGCGTGGAGAACCACCACGGCGGCGCACATACAGAGCATGGCGACGACAAACGGCCAAAGCCTTATTTACTCTCAGCCGGGCTTCACCGTCAACGGGCTCATCCCGGGCAGCGGGCAGGGGATGCACCACCACAACCTAAGAGACAGTCACGAAGACCACCACAGCCCGCACCTCAGCGAACACGGCCACCCTCCGTCCCAGCATCAGCACCAGCACCGGCCGCAGAGCCACCACGACCACTCGGATGAGGATACGCCGACCTCGGACGACTTGGAGCAGTTCGCCAAGCAGTTCAAACAGCGCAGGATCAAGCTGGGATTCACGCAAGCGGACGTGGGACTCGCCCTGGGGACCCTGTACGGAAATGTGTTTTCGCAAACCACCATATGCAGGTTTGAGGCCCTGCAGCTCAGCTTCAAAAACATGTGCAAGCTGAAGCCTCTATTGAACAAGTGGCTGGAGGAGGCGGACTCCACCTCGGGCAGCCCGACCAGCCTGGACAAAATCGCGGCGCAGGGGAGGAAAAGAAAAAAACGGACTTCAATCGAGGTAAGCGTAAAAGGAGCTTTGGAGAGCCATTTTTTGAAGTGCCCTAAACCGGCAGCGTCGGAAATAATCAGCCTGGCGGACAGTCTGCACCTGGAGAAAGAAGTGGTGAGGGTTTGGTTTTGTAACAGGAGACAGAAGGAAAAACGCATGACCCCTCCGGGAGGAGCGCTGCCGGGGAGCGAGGATGTGTACGGGGACACGCCGCCGCACCACGGGGTCCAGACCCCGGTCCAATGAACTCTGCCGGACCGGCTCCTCCAGGACTTGTTTACCGTTTTAATTTATCCCACCCCCCAAGGTTATATATAAATCACTGGACTATGAAACGATATAGTGGGTGTTTTATGTATAATAGATTGCAGTGATTACTGACACAATATCTGCAGTGAATATCTGAGAAATGGAAAACGAGTGACGGGAGGACAGGACATTTTTTGTCCTCCCCTCTCGCAGAGCTGAAGGAACATAAGCCCGTGTTATGTTCTCCGAGGATACATGCCCAGCACTGTGACTCCAGACGACGCAGTTTCAAGGTGTAGCCCCTATTGTGTACTGAAATTATACTTGACGAAAAAAGGAGGGGAGGGGAAGAATGGTTTTAGAAGAAAAGCTTCCATTTTCCAGTTTTTTTTCTTCTTCTATTTTTTAATATATATATCAATTCCAACCTTTTTGGGGCTGTGCGTAAAAGGGAAATCAAAGGCGTTTTTTTTATCTTTTATTTTATTTTCGTTTCTTTTTCTTTTTTTTTAGTTTTGTGGCTCTAAATTGTGCGTCCAGCAGTGATGGGTGTGTGGGTAGTGCAGTGGGAGGTCAAAGGAGCTGCGTTAATGGAGTAAAGTGGAGGCCGGTATAGGCTTCAGCCCCAGTGCAGTGGAGTCCAGCTGAGGGTGAGCATCGCCTGAGTCCCATCTGTCAGCCAGACCGCTTTTAATTATTCTGTGTGGACTGAGGTCACCATTTAGTTAAGAACACATTATTATTATTATTATTATTATTATTATTATTATTATTATTATTATTATTATTATTATTATTATTAGTGCACGTGCAGCTCACTGGTTAAACTCTTCAGTATAAATGGCCTGAGCGCAGAGATGTGGTAAATAAAAAGTGTGTGACCTCTATCGTGAGTCAGCCAGCAGTCTAAACAACAAAGTCCGTGTTTTCCACACAACAAGCGTTAAATATTATTATTTCCCCCCTCAGAGCGTCTCCCAGCTCCAGGATTGGGGCTCCGTGGCGATTGATTGGATTATATGGCACCTTTTTCTTTTTTTCTCTTTTTTTTCTTCTCCCCACAACAGGATGGGCTCCACACACACACACACACACACACACACACAGATCTCGACACAAGCAACTCTCACAGAACAGTTTGGATCCGCTTTTGTAAATATTGTATAACTTTAAAAAGTCATCCCTCTTTTTTCTCGCTTTTTCTTCACTGGGGCACTTTTTCCCATTTTCTTTCATTTTTTTTGTCCCCCTCCCCCCAAAAAACAAAAAAACAAAACAAAAAACAAAACAAAACAAAAATCACACACAAGCAGGTTGAGCTTCAGAGTCCATAGCCTAAACCCACCGCCTTGCACTTGTGTACCTTTTTTAAATGGTTCGGACTTTTTTTCTTTTTGTTTCTTTCTCTCTTTTTTTGGTAACGCGTTAATTTTGACGTCCAAAAATGTCTGCTATTTTTGTTTGTTTTTTAAATTCCTCTGAACTTTTATTTTGCATTATTATTATTATTATTATTATTTATTTATTTTTTTTTGGCTTAAATCGCCTAGTAAGAGTTTTCTTTCGCCATTTTGCGCCCGCTCTGAAATAAAAACAGTGCTTTAAGAGTGAATCCACATAAATATGGCAGAGAAATGTCCACAAATAAACGATCTAAGGGGAGGATTACAAAACAAAATTAATGTGCGAATAATTTGTCCTCAAAACATATTTTAGTGACGTTCCAAAAATTGCAGCATATGATCAAAATTATTATTATTTTACAATAACCATGCAGCCTTTTTGTTCGTCTGTTTTGCCTTTTTTATATAACGGGGGGAAATTGCGCGTAGACATTTTATTTAATGTTATTTTTTTTAGTTTTGTTAATGAGATTGTAATTTATTCTGGGTGGCTTTTACAGAAGAGACAAAGGGTGAGATATATAAGAAATGAAGAGCCGAGAAGGCTTTTGTTTTGTAGGGGACGGGGTGACAGAATGAGAGACCTATTTTTCTTTCTTTTTTTGTAATAGCGGGATTGCCACAGCCTCGACCGTCACAGCTAAATGTATATACATGTTTTTCTCCGTGCAGTAGCTCGCCCTTTTGTTTTATGCAAAGAGAGAAATCCAGGGACTTTTTTCCCCTCTCATGTGGAAACTGCTTTTCTTTTCTCCTCCTCTTCCTTCTCTGTGTTTCATTTGCAGAAAAAATAATAATAATATCATTAACAAGCAGAAACCATCATGGCATTGAAATCTTTCTTCCAGTAGCTTTAAAACCAATCGATCCAAGTCACAATTCACTGGAAATACAAGTTGTGGGATGTAGACCTGTAGCAATCCAACGCTGTTCTTCTTGCTGTTTTTGTTTAATTGCTTGTTTGTTTGTTTTGTTTTTTGTTTGTTTGTTTTTTTTTGGGGGGGGGGGGGATAGGCTATGTCATATTCACTGGATGAACTTGGGGTAGATATGACGCAGAGGTGAGGAATGCCTGCAGGTGTTTCATCACTTGACACATGAACAACGGACTTGCACATTTTTAAATAACGGGGTTGATATTAAACAGCTTTTTTCCAACGTCGAGGCTAAATGTATTTATTTTATTTACACACACACACACACACACACACACACATATGTATACACATATATATATTTCCGTGAAACCCAGCAAATCAGGGAGCTGCTGCACTGAGTTGCCTGACAGCTGTGCTGTTAAAAAATATGCTTCTTGCTTTGAGCCCATTCGTTTGAGTGGAATTAATGGCCGAGAGAAAATCAGGGTTGATGAATGGAAGATTGTGAGCCGATGATGTGTTGTTTCTGCCCCGAGGCTGCTTTTAAATGAACTGGCTTTGGCTGGGAAAACCACAGCTTCCATCTAGGGTTAAATTAGGGCTTCCCAAAGTGGAGTCCGAGGACTAAAAAGTGGTCATTTTGGAGGGCTGAATCACGGTCCAATGCGGTAATCTTTTTCTTTTACTAATATGTGGACTTTTTCTTTTATCACGCAGGATTACACACAAAGATTGTGAGCAGATGTAGATGTTTTTATTTAGTTTTCCCCCCTTCTTTTGCTCCTCTTCTCCTCCCTTGAATGACGCTGTCTAGTTTATTTCTTAAGATAATTAATTAATCTAAGAAGACAAAAATGTATCTTATGAAGTCAGCTTCAACCCTAAGCACAACTTTAGGCTGTCGTGATTAAATGAGGGTTAAAAGACTGGCAATTGAACGCATCGCGACGATGCTTTCCTGATTTCAGATAAAACCTGAACGCTTTAAATTTGTCCCGATGTGCTAACATAAAAAATACTAAGAAAAAAAACCCCCTCTTTTTCTGTTTCTTCTCTTCTGGTGACCGTGAGTTTGACACTGGTGACCCTGATGGCATTTCCCCCTTCCCCTTGAGTGAGTTATTTCCCCACAGTAAGCATTGGTGTGATGTTTGTGTGCACGTGTGTGAAAATCTAGCCTAGCTGATTATTATTACTATTTTTTCAAGCTTGGATCTGATAGCCAAATGCAAAAGTTCCTGCTTAAAAATGTGCGTGATTGCGCGCGGGCCTTGTGCCTGTCAGAATAATATTAATTAGAATCGGATCCGTTTCCTGTTCCGATGTCTGCAGCCTCACGAGCATGGATGAAGTGCTTCTTTTCTCTCTCAGAATTAAGAAGCAAACAGAGAGGTGGATTGGCAATCAGTAGCTAATAAGGTATTGATAGTGTTTATCAATAAATCATAAAGAACTAAAAACCAATCGTGTGCTTTAAACAGAAAAATAAACAATATGCAGATATCCTCTGATTCAAGGTGGGTGTCATTCTAATCAACGCTAATGTGCTTAACTTAACCTATACGAGACGATGATGATGTAATACCAGCTTGCCAGAGAGCGCGTCTTCACGCGTTGTTTTGATGTGGGAAGAAACACCATCATCACCACCCCCACTCACCGTTTGACCTGCCATTTGGACGCCTGGTATGAAATGACCCCGGCATTTAAAGCCCCCTCTGCCACTCTCTGATCTCTGAAGTAGACTTTTGTGAAGCTCTGTAATAAAAATAAATAAATAAAATAAATAACATTTAAAAAAAGGAAAAAAGTGCGCCCTCGCGCCCTTCATCCGCTCTCTAGCAGATGCAATTAATAGCGCGTCGCGTTAATTACACCTTCCTTTTTATTTAGGTGACTTGAAATTTCCCATTAGGCTCACAGGCAAGGAGGGAAAGCTGCTGTGCTGATGCTGTGGCGCTGACTGAACCGAGCAGAGGAAGAGAAGCGGGAGGGTTGGGGTGGGGGGGGACACATGGTCGATGCTCTAGCGCCATCTTGCGACACCAGCAGGAGCCTCGGGAGGAGGTCGGGTCAAGTTTTCCTTTCACGACAGAAACGTGGAATAGAAGGCTTCTCTGTTCTTGGGGATATTATGTTGGGATACTGTTGGGGTATTTTTTTAAGTTCATATTCTTATGCCAATTAATGAAAGGTTAAAAAAAAAAAAAAAAAAAAGATTTCACTAAGCTGACAGATGAAAGTCAGGTTCATTGTTCATCCCTTTAACTGTCCGACCAGATGGAGGACATTACTTGTCATTCATAAAAACAAAACAAAAATGGGAAAAATTCAATGTGCAGAAATGTTAAAAGTTGAAAAGATGTTACAGTTTATTAATTCCATAAAATCAGGCTTTAATGTTAGCGTCCCCATGAAAGGGGGGAGTTTGTCCAACTACAATTCAATCTAAATAAAAGTGCAGTGGAGCAGTTTTCCACTGGTTATATCTTTGCCATTCACGGCTGGTCAGTCTCTGTGTGGGGTTGACCAAAGTGCAAGTGATTCTTCAAGCCTCCACCAAGCTCCACATCCCTGCCCAGATTCGTGCTCACTGTGGGCCCTCCGCGTTAAAACTACAAGCTGATTGTGAAAGACTCTTTTACACAAGTATGAGTCAGGTTGTCATGTCTCACCTCCATTAGATAAGCCTCGTCTGTATGTAAACTTACCTCGACAGCATTGGAGGGTTTTGTTCTCTTCTAGTGACAGAACCAGTGTCTCCAGCAATGAAGTAGGGGTGTACAGTGTGAGATTTAAGGAGCATCGCTGACTCAGCACGCTCAGCCCTGCCACTAGATGAGCATGTGCAATTAGTGGTTTTACTAACTTGCTAACAGGGGGGCTTGTTAGGTGTAAGTGTGATTCGACAAATGTGGATACATATCAAAAAAGTGATACACAATCACACTCCGATCACGGAAATCTAGTTTACCACTGTGTGTGTAACTACGCAATGTTTCAGTGTGAATTTCAGGGGTCTAATTGATTTTGAACACGAAGGTTTTAGCCATCCATCCCCTCCACAGTGATCTTCACTTAATGCGTTTGTACGAAGCATCAAACATCAGGGTCCATCTCTGAGTCCTGTGAGGACCAATCAGCCCAACAATCGCTCACTTATCTGTCAGTCTCTCTTTACTCACACCTCCTCCACGCACACACAGAAACACACACAGATAACAGTGATACAAGCTCACGAGCTGAACATAATTCCACCATTTGACATTGTTGTTGTTTCGGTTTCACTCAGATGCATCGCAGCTAATTACACTTTGCACACTTAAGCACACAAACGCGCGTGTGCGTTCATTTGTAAACGAGTTATTGTTTAATTATAACTTCACATGAACTTTGCTGATCAACGGGGCGAGTCGTGTCTCCCCTTCAGCGCATAATTATTCGGGCTATAATTGCTCGGCCTGTTTGTGAAACATGCTCATCCTTCAGCACGGCCATCGCACACATCCTGTGCCAGACCCACGCTGTGAAGGCCCGGTGTAAGAACAGGAAGCTTTAGGTGGACAAATAAAGCTTTTATATCGGCTGTAAATGTATCATTGGCCACATAAAAAATTTTTAACAGTGCTATTATATTTGTATAATCACAGAATTATTTCCAAAAAAACAAAAATTACCAGGGTCAATATTATTAGTCCCCTTTTTACTGAGCCATAGCACAAACCACTGCTGTGCAATGATGTGCTTCACCTCTGTATTGCTCTATGCAGTAAAAGCAATTTAAAACTGAGGGTTATCTTCCAATTTACACACAATATAAAAACTTCAGTGGAGAAAACATCTGTTTAGACTTGAGAAAAAGAATTGTGGATGCTCACAAAGCGGGAGATGGATATACAAAGTTATCACAAAGCCGCCAAGTGTCAAGAACTGGACTGAGATGTATCATCAAGGAATTCAAAGAGAGCCACACAGTACAGAACAAGCCTGGCAGAAACAGGAAGCGAAAAAACTTCAAAGACTCTGTAAAGCAAACTGGTGAGAGATGTGTCTGAAGAACCCAGAACAACTGCCAAGACATGAATGAATTACTTAGCAAAGTGAGGACTGTTGACGTAAAGAAGACTATCACTAGAATTCTGCATATAAGTGGACTGTGACGTGGACAAGAGAAAGAAGACACATTCAAGCCAGACTTAAGTACGCCAAGGACAACCTGGAGAAAGATTATGCTTACTGGAACTGTGTCCTTTGGTCAGATGAGACGACACTAGAGCTCTCTGGACACAGACACGCTGATTATGTTTGGAGACAGAAGGAAAAGACATACAATTCAAAGAACATTGCTCACAGTGAAACATGGTGGTGGGAGTGTTATGCTGTAGGGATGCTTCAATACACCTGGAACTGGGAATCTCATCAAGGTGGAAGGGACCATGAAGAAGCATATGTGAAGATTTTGAAAAAGAAAACCTCATGCAGGCAGCAGCAAAACTGGTTCTCGATGGATGTCTTGACAATGAGCCAAGACATACATCGCTCCTGCAGAACTACCTCCAGAGGACCAAAGTAAACGTTACTGGCTGGCCTTGGATCTTTTACTTAAAGCTTGTTCCTCTGCTGCCACAATTAGTGCCTCTGCGCTGTCTTTTAGTCCAGCCACTGGTAGTATTTAGACATTTATATTATATTATATTGTAACCTATCCCCACAAACTGCATGTCTTTGGACGGTGGGAGGAAGCCGGAGTACCCGGAGGGAACCCACGCAAACACGGGGAGAACATGCAGTTTGTGGGGATAGGTTAATTGATTAATCCAAATTGCCCATAGGTGTGAATGCGGGAGTGAATATGAGCGCGAATGGTTGTCTGTCCCTGTGTGTTAGCCCTGCGACAGACTGGCGACCTGTCCAGGGTGTACCCCGCCTCTCGCCCTATGACAGCTGGGATAGGCTCCAGCGCCCCCCGTGACCCTGAAAAGGATAAGCGGAAGCGAATGGATGGATGGATATTATATTATATTATTATTTTATTTAATAAAGACAGATACTCACACAGGAAAAGTCTAAAATTAAAGTGGATTACAGTTGTAGTTCAAAACTGAAAATATTGAAAGAGTAAGACTAAACTGTCTACTCTCTAAATTCACACACACTTTGACTTCTTTCTCTGTTTATTGAGAGGAAAACAAAAAAAAAAGCCGTGACTAAGGCCAGCATTTGCAGGCAACCCTCTGTTTTAATAATGTAGATGTCACTTTAATACATTTCTAATCATCTGTGCCACCAGGTCAAAGTTGGTGTGAAATCTGCAGGATGGCTGTTTGGTTCAAAACAAGAAAAACTGTGTTGTTCATTTCGAACGAGGAGACCCGAGATAATGCTGACGGGTCACACTATGATTAGAGGGATAAGAAGGGAAAAAAAACACTTCAGGCTCCTAAAAATTCTTCAAAGGAAACAATCTCAGCAAGGAAAGTCTCTCCTTGTAACTCACGTCCAACACTGAGGCCATAGCCTGCAATGAGAGGCCAGATTTTTATTTTTTTTTTTAGTCCTAGAAAATCAATTTTCTGAAAGGAGACAACAACAAAAAAAAAAAAAGAGGGACTTGATGTAACAGGATAGAGTGAGTTCATTTTGAGAAACAAGCACTGCATCTCTTCAGCCAGCATCAGATCGGATCTCTGAAGAGTCACTGTGTGGTGGCACTTTGTTTACAATAATTAGGGCGAGGTATCACAGTTTGGCAACATGTACAAATAACAACAGTTATCCTCGTGGATGCACAGACGGCTAAAGAAACAGTGTACCCCTGTAGCTTCAAAACACCACCCTGTTGAGTTTAGTGCTTGGAATAGATTTAAGAAACTGAGTGCTGACATTCAATATCCTTAAAAACATAACAAAAGTAATAAGCTTCAGACACAACGGTGAGGACTGCCAGGGATGTCTTCATTATTAGAGTCCAAGGAGGGAAACTAGAGAAGCAGCACCAAGCCACATAATGATGGGTATCACGGTGAGGTCTCCCTCAGGCAGGTCTGAGGCCTGTCGAATCCCAGCCTGAGGAGGGCTCAGAGGAGGTAGACCACAGGGAAGACTGTTTCTGCTGTCAGCTTTGTCCAGGTATGCTCTTGTGTCACTCACACCATCTGGAGATAAGAGGGAGGGGCGGGCAAAAAGGAACGGAGAGACCTTGTGACACCACTCCCTACCCCCCTCCCATTTACTTTTTAAACGCTGGATTTATTATTCAGGAACAATATTTCCATCCATATATTCCCCCTGCAGATTCGTCAAGCTATGTCTGTAGGCACTTGAAAGACAAATAAAAAGCTGAACTAATTGCTGTGGAACCCCCCCTGGATATATCAGGCTCGTAGAGGAGCGTGACAGCAAGAAATCAAGCTGTAGTGCAGAGCGGAAAGCCTCCATGAATCACGTTTGCATCCACGCTCGCGCGCAAGCACGCACGGCGGCGGCGACGTTAGTGGCTGAGGAATAATCATTGGGGAGGCAGTCCAAATTAATACTTCAGCCGAGGCTGCCTCGTTCTCCGTCATTAGGGCACATTACAGGGCCACAATATACATCATTAAACTAGGCATAAACAATTCATTAAAAGGCCGTTAAGAAGACAAGCTAATGTCACTTCTCCCTGTGGTATTAATAGACTGTAAAATGGCAGAGGGTTAAGGCAAAAAGGATCAGTCCGCAACGACTATCCAGTCACTCATCCTGACTAATGGCTCTGCTAGTTGTTGTGGATTCAGTAGACGAGCCTACTCCCCCCCCCCACGCCTCCAACCCCAAATCACACTTAGACGACTCTCTTCTTAAGAAGCCCCAACATGATACAGCGGAGCAATTTCCATTTGTTTCGGTGGCAGTGGCGTGCTGTTCAATGAAGCTGAAGAATAAGAGAAAATAGAATATGAGCGAGTTAATGCCTTCGCAGCCACTTTGTTCTACAGTCAGACTGCTTACATCTCTGCTCCTACAGGATCAAAAATGAGCCACACACACTCAGTCATCAGCCTTCGGTTTATTTAAAACCTGGTGAAAGTGAAGCACCGCATTTCATCGCGACAGAGACACACAATCTCTTTACACAACAGTGGCTTTCACGCTGCAGCGGAGGGAGCGTCGCTGCAGGTCCTCCCAGTTCATGGCACAAAGGTTGATCACATATCCAGAGTGGGAGAAGAGAGACTGCATATTCATTAGAGGAAGAAAAAAAGAAGCATAGGGCCACCTCAGAAAAATACACCAAACTGCATCACTGGTCAAACAGTGATGATCTGAGAGTGGTGCTCACTTTTTAAATAGTTTTGCCTTTGCAAATTAATGCTGTTGCAGATAGTTGCTGTACAAAGTATAACAGTGACAGTGTTTTTATTGTGGTGCAGTAGTTATTACTGACATAATTACATAATTACATGATAGCAGGTCTTTGAAATGAGAGCTTTACCTGGATAAATAACAATTAAAAAAAAAACAAACATCAAAATGTATTAAAAATTTGGGTGGGCTGGGCAAAACTGATGCATTAGTGAAAGGCCTGGTGTGCCATACTGTTACCACACCTGTTTATAACAAAACTGGAAATAAACCAAGTATTAATTTCCCACTCTTATGCAGCAATTTACCATACCCACACCAATAACAAGACTGGAAGATCGATATGTGATTGACTTCTGCGCAGCCAGGACTGCTCTGGGTTTAGCCTAGCTCAGCACAGAGACTGGAAGCAGGAACAGAGTAGGAAGTCATTTTTAAGGTGTTTAGAAAGGTAATGACTGTAGCTGCAGAACGCAAATGTCGCTGCCATATTTATTTCTTAAAGCTTAAACAACTGGCAGATGGGAAAATATGTACATTCTCTAACATCGATCACTGAGCAAATCTGAATTTCAGTCTTTTTTACGTTTCTGGAGTATTTTGGGTTACCGGGGGGCAGGTTGCTGATTGGTCTGTAGGCCCGCGTGATTTGAGGTTTAGTGGACTAGCATTGCACAAACTAAGGTAAACTAAACTAAGGTAAAGACGTGCATTCACTCTTACTGCTAAGTTAGACTAAAGGCATGTTTTCAGTCTTTATGCTGAGCCAGGCTAAAAACACATTTCCACTTCATGTTAGGCTAGGGTAAAGGCATACTTTCAGTCTTAGTGCTAAGCTAGGCAAAATACCAAAAAACCCAAGAAACAGTTCCCCAAATTGTATATTACCATTTAAACATCCACCAATAATGAGTATAAATAACATTTTCATTGCCGAGGGAAATATAAATAAACCATTTTTTGCATATATAGCTCTATATTTTGCAATAATTCACATGGCTGATATAAGGTATATGGCACAGAAACTGGTCAAATATAGGTGTGAGACTGATGACGACCAGATTAATGTGTTATTACTTTGGTTGAAGGGCATTAAAAAAAAAAAAAAAAAAAAAAAAGCGAAGCACTTCACCACAATCTAAACCACTTGGACACAACATTCAAACAGGAGCATAAGGCACAAATATTGACTAGTAGCATGTGCTTCAACTAAAAATTCAAGTTTGTTTCAAACACAAAAATGCTCTTCAAGCACTTCTCCCACACTGCAGCCTTGGCTTCATATATTACAAAAAATAAATAATCAGCAGCAGTACATTTTTCATACAATTACTGCAACATTCAACACTCAATAAGCTCTGATTAACGTCTCTGTTACGCCAGCGCAAACTGACGATTTGTGTCACGTGTGTGTTTGTTGTGAGCAACACCAAAGCCCGGTAACCTTAACGCTAACTCAAGTCTGGTGTTACTTTCTGTAAAGATGTCCTTTGTGCTGGTTTCTGGAGTAAAACATGTTTTTAAAAAAGTGACATTTAATGAACATGAGATTATATATAGCCCCTGAGTTTGAGGACAAATACTGAGGTCACATATCGTAGTTACACTTGTTACACGTCAACATTACGTCCTCGGCTTAATTTACAGCACTCCTTCTCAGCGGTGGAATTTGATCGGAGTGGGTTATGTAGTCGGCTGTAGTCAGACAGCAGTGACAGAACTCAACAGGAACGACAACAGAAACAGCACTAACATTATGACACTGCAGAGGGCCTATCTTGCACTTTCAAAGAAGGTGTTCTGCATTTGCAGCTAATTTTAATGCCTGGGCCCAGCTCTCCAAGTTTCATGAAACTCAGCTTGTGTAAACTTGCTGACAGAAAAACAGCACTGAAAACACTCCCCCACCTGAGCTCTCACCTCAGCGGAGGAGCCAGTGACTTTCAAACTTGGGGAAACAAAACTTTAGCCTAAAGGCCCCAATTTGCCTACGCTGAAATGTTTACACAACCTATGAGGTCTGAACAAAACCAATTAGCAAGCACCCCGATCATTAACACTTTCTATTTCATTTAGTCCACTGAATTGTCTGATGTACTGTATACAGCCAAACACATTCAACTGCTTCAGCTGCAGATGACTTTCTCTACAGTATTCCAACAAAGGCCTCTAGTTAATAACTACCCCTGTATTTCTTACTTGTTAACACTCGGACTTAATATAGAATATTACTACATTCATCTGAAGTGTCTGATATGTGGTGACACATTAACAGCTGCCCAGGTAATACAGTTGGAAATTCTTTCATATTATCCTAGTAAAAATATTAACTGCTGGACCAAAAGCGCCTAACTGAGAGTTGGAGAGGAAAAGATTTTTAGATTTGTTTCATGTCATCTTAAATAACATCTTCATTACTTCTCTGCGCTTTTATTTCAAAAGAGTCAGTGTGCATATCTTTTGAATTTGATGCCTTTAAAATTGCAGGAGTACAGAAAACACCTAGAGCATGTGGAAATGAAAACAATTTTTTCCCCATTGATGGAAACACGCCATTGCTAAATCTCTAGTGCATGGACATTTAATGATGATCCTGCAGTTTGTAGCAACACATATTAACTTGTGATAGTCTCATTAAAGTAAAAAAAATAAAAGAATAACACTAACCACAGTGCATTGCATCTAGTGCAGCTGTTTTCACCTTTAAAGCCCCTTTGAACACAACACCATCCACTATGATTCAATGAAAGTGAGTGAATGGTGATAAACACCACCGGAAAGACCTTCATGTACAAACCAGCCTGTTCATATTCCACAATCAAACAAGGCACTGACCAAGGCCCTGATATGTAGCTAATATTATTATGTGAAGTCCAGTAACAGGTAAGAATGCTTTGTGTTCCATTTGTTTTCCTAAAAAGATGCTTAAAAGAAGTTTTCTCTCAAATGTTGCTTTTTTCATGTGTGATTTCTAGTGGTAAGGCATATTTCCTTGCTGTGTGTTATCTGGCAATACATACTGTAAGTGCTGATTCATATTGTGGGAACATGTGGCAGCTTCACTGCAACAACCCTGATTTAAAAAACAAACAAACAAAACCCCCACCCAAAAATACAAGTGTCTTATGTTGTATAATCCTGCTCCTACAAATCTGTAGTCATTTAGGTTCACTAAATCAGTAAAGCCAGTAAAATCCTCCTCACCCAGTCCCACCGCTTTTTATACTGACCGCTAAAAGAAGATCTCGTCCGTGATACAAGCAGAGGCAGGTCTGCAATCTCCTCCTGCATCTGACCTGCCTCTGAATCACTCTGGGGCAGTATGTGCTGACCACTACCTCCCTCCACTTGCTACATCTCAGTAGTGGGAAATGAGCCAATGCTGGGGTCACTGAGTGAAGCTTTTCTTGATGGCCACATTGGGGAAGAGGCCAGAGAGCTCCTGGACGATGCGCATGTCTATCTGTGAGCAGAAGGAGACGTCCAGGAGGACAAGCTGAGGACACGACTGGAGGAGTTTCTTCAGTGAGGCGGCGCTCACTGACCGTGTACCTGTCCGGCAGACGTATCACAACAGGGACACGCAGAAGGTGAAAAACACTTCACAAAAAACGCATAAAAAATAAAACAAAACACAGAGCTGTGAAATAAAAACAATGATATTTTTATGTCTGGCTACTTCTTAAAAAGGAAACTGCGTGTGTATTTTCTTTGTAAATGAAGTAAAGTTCCTCTCTGCCTGTTCACACAGATCATAGAGTCCAGACCAAAATCATTTGCACACCTTCCAGCGAGTCAACCACTGAAGCACATCTGAAATAACTAAAGAACTGACACATCAGCATAGCCTGAATAACACTGAAGCTACTGTGCTGTCAAAAACACCAACTTATGCAACTGGAACTAGAGTGTTACTGCTATGGTGTGCTGCTGTAACTTTGCTTACTGAGCACTACTGTATAGCAATATTAAGCTGATTATTTGAGTTTGTGTTCGAGGTTAACTTGAAGGTTTTTTTTCACCCCTCAAATGCTATACTGGGAATGGGCCTGCTGTGAATATGATAAGTGAACGATGAGCTAAATCAAAAATGCAGTTGCCCAACTGACAAAGTCTCTTATAAAAAGTTAAGTTGTGGCTATGCTGCTCTGATGGGGAGCTTTATACACCAACGTGATGAAACATAAGTCATGACCGAATAACCACGAACTTGACACTCATTAACAAATGATTAATAAGGCAAACGTTTGTTTCCACATATGTGTGAGGGAGATCTTACCCAGAATGTCGAGATGCCTCAGACAGGGGCAGCTGGCTGCCAGCTCCTCTATGTCTGAGTCGCAGACGGTGCGGTTGGCAGTGAGGAAGAGCTTGCGCAGGCGTGGAAGGCTGCGGGCGAGGTGTTGGAAACATCCCGTACTGCTCTGCAGCGTGGGACACCAGCCCAGGTCCAGTTCCTCCAACATCCTGAGCAACAACAGAGCCAACAAGTAAACTGGGGTGACGCAAGGACAAATTTGGATATTCACAGAGAAACCATGCAGTGTCTCTAATGTGTAAGTGTTTTAACAAAAACAAAGCAATCACAGAGGAAACTAACACCATTTCATGTCCTGGACAATTTTACAACCAAAGATGTTATATGAGAAGAATCCTGAACTGAAAGCTATGAAAACTCCCCACCAAGCAAAAAGATAGTGGCAGGAGCAGAGAGGGGGGAGGAGCTTCCTGAAATCTTATTTTGGGGCAAAATTAGCACTTAAAAAAAAAAAAAGAAGCTGTTATGAATGGTTATTTTGCACATGCCTGGAGTCCGCAGGTGTTATAAACAACAGTAGCTTCAAGTGACTACCTGCACCCTGAGACGAGCTCAGTCAGGCCTCGATCGGTCAGGTTTCTGCAACGCCACAGGTCCAGAGAGCACAGCAAGCGACAGCGAGTGGCCAGCATACTGGCTACAACATCATAGTCTTCGATCTGCAAGTGAGACACGAGAATTTACTCTCTATACAATATGCAGCATTTGCAGCTCACAAGCAAGTTCCCAGAGGGACATTTGGACGATTCAGACCCGCTTTAATGTGCAAAACCACCCTCGTCGTATGCTGCAGTCGATTCAGATGTTATGATTTGTACACGTCGGTGTGAGCGATGTACGGGCAGAGGTGCTGTGATCTGTGCTCATCTACAACACTGTCACAGTCCCAGGCTTTTAAAAATGTGCCTTTAGGATAACGTAAAGGAAGATGATGCTGTCAGGATGAGTCAGTCAATAGTCTATCTAATATATTCTGAACAAACTTTTGAAATGCTGCGATAATAAAAAGCTGATTAGCGGCATCACCCGGCTTGTGGCTCGTAACCTCGCTTCCTCGAGAGAGCAAAAGAACAAAGCACTAACGCGGAATACTTTCACCGTAAAAAACAAAAACAAAATAGTCTTTCAGGAACTGATTTATGTTTGCGAGGCTGTTATTGTTCTTTGGTGTCAGGTAATGCTGGCCATATTTCATTGTTTCATCCAAAGATGAAAGCAAAGAAATGCAATTTAACAACTAAAAACAGCCCGAGCAGATAACTCAGCTACAAAAATGACAGCAAGAACATTTCTCAGAGTTAGCAGTGATGGATATTTAAACTCTGGCAGAGAGAGTCGCTGCCTTTATGCATTTCTCTTGCCAAATGTTGCATAACTTTATTTCTGATGATGACAGTTATGTCTTGAGAAAGACCACAAGAGGATTTTCTCATGTATGATATCAATATTTCCATCAAAGTCATTCAACTTTTTTTAGGGAGTTAAACACACACAGATGCCCCATCATTATCATCATGATACACTAAACATTTATTAAAATGCCTCATTAATAATTCCAAATGATGTTAATAATAAAACGTATTGTACTTTAATATCATCATACATATCTGTCCACAACAGTTGCTGTATACCATTCCCCTCATATTCAATGAGCCATCATTAAAGGAGTAACAGGAGAATGACACCTCTCTCACAGAAGTCTACAACTACCAACCAATTATCTTATCTTAGCACAGACTGCACAAAGATTAGCCAGTGACCCCATGCCAACCACCGGCTGTTAGTGAAAAATGTGTATTCCCAGACTGGTTTTCAAGTGGTTGTTGGCGTTTGCTGTCACTGGGTGAAATTGGTTCTAAAGAGGTACACGGTGCTGCACTGAAAACTTCTTTGGCCCCCAGCAAGTTGCCATGGTTGACTGTAGTTTGCATGGAAGAAGCTTAATGTCACTGCTGTCTAACCATGGAGCAGTAGTGAAACTTGGTTTTGGGCTTAAGACGCACGTTTTTCCAGATCTCATTAGCGTTCTATGATTAGCGTTTGCAAATGGGTGTCTTCCATGCAAACACTAAGGTGAGCAATCGCAAAGAGTGCATGGTCAGCACCCTCTTTGCATCTGAATTCAGTTGGCAACAGCCAGAAACCTCCAGTAATCACTCACTAACCAGTCAGGGTATACATATTTATCACTAGCCACTAGAGTATCCTAAATGGTGGCCAAATGGTGTCTAGGCCTGTGTGACTACAGCATTATGCAACAGTCACACTAAGAAAAACGGTGGTTGAGGTATGACCAAAATGATTGTGACTTTGTGCAATGACCTTGCAATCCTGTCACAGACAGGGACCAGGTCTTGACCACTCCCAGTCAGTTGCCATCTTCAAAGAGACTTTGGCGTGGCAAGATGGTGATAAGAGTGATTTGCCTATCAGTCTGTCAGCTGTGCTGTCAGCTTAATACTGAACTGGGTCAAGTTGGCAATTACATGCAATCATTTTGTGTTAATACAGTGATTAACTTGTGACAAACTGTCAACAATTGCAAATGTGTTGCAGTGTACATACTCAGAAATCAATATTAACTACTTACAGAGTCGAGCGAGAACCTCAGAAATTCAACAGAAGCAATTCCTCCAAAAATAGAGACCTTGCTGCTTCAGGACAGCGATTTAACTGCAATGTGATATATACTGTAGGTGCTTAGCAAACCTTGACTTTATGTAGGAATATAACCAGAAAGCACACAATTGGCCACCAGCCTACTGGCTCACACGCTGACTGCATTTTCAAACTGTTTGTGTTCATAAATTAAACATCATTTACTTGAAACCTTCACTAATCAGAGTGATTCCAGTGAGTTTGAATCAGGCCACCATTGTTTGCAGACAGGATGCCTTCCATCAGACAACCTGTGCGATCGCACAAGTGGGTACTGCAACTACTTGTAATCAGTTTTTAATGCAAAAAAACATTAAATTCAATTATATAAGCACAGATTTTTCCCAGTTACGATAAGATTGTTGTCCTACTTTTACTCCAGTGTGACTAAGCCATTTGCCAGGGATCACAGGGCTCTCTTTCATCTTCCTATCTGGCATCTTTTAGACAAGCTTCCAAAATGAAAGGTAATAGTTAAGATTGTAGCTTTCTTTGAAACTTCATATGTGTGCACATTCTCACCCTCACACAGCTCCCCAGGTTGAGGTGTCTTAGCTCTATGCAGAAAGTCAGAATGCTTAAGATGGCTGTTTGCTGTGGAGGAAAGGAGAGACAGAGACAGAGGTGCACAGGTGAAAACCAGGTAGGTAGAAAGAGCAAAAGAGATTTAAAACACCGGTAGCATCTTACCTGAGTATAAATCTATATATAAGATAATTTAAAACAACATAGGTTTTAGTAGCGGTAACAAATCCAGTCATGTCACCTAAAGTTCCCGTTTAAGTAACTTCCTGTCTGTTACCTGGCACACCCAGCACTTTCAGGATTAAAAGGTTTTTAATAAAGCACAGGAGACAATTTTTCCACCTCCTTGTGGAGTGAAAAAAGTGAAAACGGAGGCCTCTCAAGCAGCACTACAACTAGTATATGGAGATATCAGAATTCAGTGCTGCAACTGCCAACACATGCACCTCAGCGGTAGGAGAATGTGTCAGACATGAAAGTGAAAGCCTCTTGTCTGCGTGTGCGCGCGTGTGCTCGACTCGGTGTAAGGCATTTTTATAAGTGCCTCTCTCCCGTAAGCTAGCCATTTAATTAGAGCAGTGACAAGGTAATGACAGCTGAGATGTCAGGGCCTCAAACAGACACACGGCTCGCTCTGTCTGTCCGGGTGTAAACAACCTGCAGCACGCTGCCTGGCTCCACCGCAGAAACTCTACACCGTCTGTTGCCCACAACGTCACTCTGAAACATGACAAACACTAGAGAAACGCTGAGGTGCACCACCAAAACAAGGCACAGTGATATTACACATCAGACATGCCTGAGCTTGAATACATGCGATGTATATTCAACACCCTGTAGAATCAGAGTTTACTCAGTTCATCTTAAATCTTTCTTAAGGAGAAATCATTAGTTTTTTTATTAAATGCACATTTTTGGGAAGTTTTGTTCAAACCTATACTATATGCATGTTTCAAGTGAAACAAAGGAGGTCATCAGATGATTAACTAAACACGAAAAAAATAAGATTAAAACATCTTTAAAACAAAATGATGATCATTTTTTTTTATATTAGTTCAGTTACACAGGTGGACCTCAGACTTTATAAATGAGGAAAATGTGGTTTTAATTGCTTACAGATCCCCTATCACAGAAAAGTCATAAGTCATCAGTATGTTAATGCTGTAAAACCTGAGTTTCTGAAAGGGGGGGGGGAGGCCAGTGGAGGCTGTTGGTAACAGTTCATGTGGCCTAGCAATGAAAGAGGTTATGACATGAGCTAAATCGGTTTGCACCAAGGCTTAGTGTAAGATAAAGGATTCATTTGAACTGTGAATCATGCAAAACTACTCTAATACAGTCCAAGAATAAAAGTACAGAGTTGGCGATGAGCAGGTCCCCTTTAAGAAGATAAAAGCTGCCTCTGGCTGCTCTTTTATCTCAAGGGGTCGGCACAGTGGGCAGCTCCTCATGTTTGATTTGCCAGACGCCCTTTCTGATGCAAACCCAAAAGGCATTTTCTGCTTTATTAGATACAATTGATCAAATTCTGTTGCTTGAATATCAGAAAAGTGACTAAATTCTCTGACCTTTCCACCGTGTGGAATCTACCTCTTGAAAATCTCTGACATTCTATATATTCAAAATACGAAAGATAATTCATTTTTTAAAAATCTTTTTGTAATTTTTTTATAACAGCTCAGCATCAATGGTGAATAAAACATTTTATACATTTAGAAAAAGGAGCAGTCTACAAATTATAAACAGCCAGGGTATCGGATATATCATTAACCAAACAACAATTTGACCTGCTCTATATTTAAACAAGACAGATCAAAGTCCACGCGAATCACTCCGATTAGTTTCGCAGAGACACTGTTTGCAGCGCATACCTCTATCTTTGTTCGGTAAAGCACCAGCCTGCGAAGGCGTGTAAGTTTTGAGATGTGCGTGAAGGCCTGTGGGGGGAGACGATCACAGGAGGACAGGTTGAGCTCCTGGAGTCCAGGACAAGTCTGGGAGATGACCTCGAGACAGGCTTCGTTCAGGAAGTGGCAGCATGACATTTCCAGGCAGACCAGGCTGGGACCACAGGCCTTCATGAAACTAAGGCAGGAGATTGAGAGAAATGAGTGACAAGAGGCCAAAAACAAAAACGAACAAAAAAGCCATCAATTCCCCAGTAGTCCTTCATCCTCTTCTTAATTTATTTTTCAATCAGTTACAGAAGAATGTGTAAACTGATTTTCTTTGTTTCAGTATGCTCCTCCTTGAAAAAGTGCTTTTACTTCTATTGCTACTTTCCAAGGTCATTTCCCTGTTTGCTGCCATTCGTGGCCCGCTGATAGTCTGACCTGCTGAAGCCCATCAGGGTAAGGGCTCCACGGTTGCCGGTCCAGGACAGGTTGAGCCTCTGGAGGAGGGTGCAGCGGCTCTGCAGGTGTCCCAGGGAGGCGTCACTCAGCCGGGCCCAGTAAGGCTGCAGACTCAGCTGGGTGTACTGTAGCGGGTCACAGCAGTGCTGGTGCAGCAGCTTACAGCTCTGGGCCAGACGGCAGAGGTCTGGCAGGGTCAGGTGGCTCAGTATCAGCTGGATGAGCTGTGGACGGGAGTCGGGGGAGAGGGGTTAAGATAGGAGACGAGGAGAGGAGAGGAGAGGAGAAATGGTAAGATACGAGGAGGGTGAGAGACAAGACATGTTTGGTCTTGTAAGAAAACATAAGCAGAAAATAACACATAATAGAGAACATTAAAGAATAGTGGAACCTAGCAGAGAAGAGAAAATAGTTCAGTGTAGAGTGGAGAATGTTAATTGCGTCCCCTCTGTCAGGCAGATCTAAATAGTGGTTATCTGGGAGACACAGCACCGATAGCAGGATCAGCGGTGAGCCGGCTTGTTTTGCACCGCATTCGTGTGTCTCTCAAAGAGAAAGAATGGTTGTGCATGTGTGTGTCACAGTGGATTAACAATACACTGTGTTCAAGCTGGTATCAGCTGACAGATAATAGCTATATTGTGTTTCTGAAACAAACACACAGCGGTTGTGAAGACTGCTGTTAATGGCAGTGGTTTGGATAGGAGATAAGAGAACAACTATCAAGAGTACTGCTGGTGTTTTGAAGCTCGCCTCAGACAACATGATACATCTGTATGGCATGAAAATGACTGTCTGTGAGTGCGAGATCAAGAAAGTGCCAGAATGGTTCAACCCGCAGTGTTCGTGTGTGACACGTCTTTTTTATTTTTTACAACAACAACAAAAAAGTGCACGTGTGCACACATGCTGAGCACATATAATAAGGAAAAAACTTGATGTGCATAAGGAAAGCTTTAAAACACTTCAAATAATCAGCGTTGCAAATGTTTTGTGTGCAGAGAAATGACTGCAGCACCTTCAACCTATATGTAAGACTAGTGCATGCTACTGGAACATCTTCAAAAAAGAAATTTTAGATATTGCAACTTTCAGGCAGTAATTGTAGAAGTAATGAGGGCGGCAGCTGAGGATTCAGGTTGGATCTCTGTGCTTGTCAAAATAGGAAGAGTGTGATAGGAAATGGTTAAACCTAATATTTATTAAAGAGGTACTGATCGAAAATACTCCTGTCTGTACCACTAAGCAAACAAGATCACATCTGAAAAATAAAATTTAAAAATGCAGTTTTATTTCATTGTGCGTATCTAAACTTTCAACCCAGGCTTGGATGACGCAAGCCTTCTGATTTGTTATTAAGGACTGTAATCACCTCATATGGCAGTTTGTCAAAGTAGCCATTTCCTGTCCTCTGGTGCTTGCCATCTCCTTGCCTGAAAGGACCTCCCACATCAGACAGCTCCTCTTCGCTGTCGCTCAGGTCACTGATGTCAATGATGGGCATTTTATAGAGAGCCAGCATGGGCCTCTCTTTTACCCCACGCAGGATAACAGCATCCAGTTCAGTGTAATAGTCCAGCAAAGAGCTGTTCACCTCTAGACGCAACAGGTTGGTTGGGAAGCCGATATGCTTTATTTTAGGGGAAAACTGGCGAGCCTGTGGAGTCAGCACCTTGGTGGGCTCACCAGACCACAACACCTCCCACCTGGACAACACAAAACATGTGCAAATATAAAAATAACATTCTTTAACCTATATAATGCTATTAAGACTACTTTGCACTACTCTAGGTACTCGTTGAAAGCAGCAGGAAAATACAGTCCTAACAATGTTCTTAAGCCTGTGTGTGGCATTGTGCACAACAGTGTTTGCCTCTTTATCTTAACATATTTCTAATAAGCAGAGACAGACGGATTTGACCATATATGTTGTCGGATATGCCCCCATATGAAAACTGTCTTTATTACAGTAATTTTTTTTTTTTTTAAAGCTGTGCGGTGTAATTTGTAAATGATGTTTTTACAAGCAGCAAGCAGAGCAGTTTTCCCTCTGTTGTTTGCAGTACTATCAGTACTTTATGCAACACATGTTCACAGGTTGTGAAACACATTGGAAAGTTACTAAATAACAACCCCATCATTGTCTGTTTTCAATATAAATCAAACATACAAATCAGGCATTTATAGTATTCTAAAGACTAATGATATAGTGATATCAAAACTTTACACTCTCTAAAAATCTGTATCAGGTCCAAAACTCCAGTGTTGATAAGATAAGATAAGATAAGATAAGATAAGATAAGATAAGATAAGATAAGATAAGATAAGATAAGATAAGATAAGATAAGATAGAACTTTATTAATCCCTTGGGTGGGTTCCTCTGGGAAATACAGAGACAAATATAAATAAAATATACAAAGGGGATAAATAGAATAAATAGGAATAAAAATAAAAATACAAGTGAATTGCACATTTCAAGTATTGAGGTCTATTGCACCATTGACTATTTACAAAAAGTATTGCACAAAAGGTATTGCACAAGGTATTGTACAGTGAGGTGAAGAGGCACTACAGCTTAGTTGTTCCCCCCTCCTCCTTTGTCCTCCTGATCATGCACTCTTAAATAGTGGGACTACTTTGAATGGCTTTTAGCAGCTGACCACATCCATATTCCATCAGAATTGTATACCCTGACTTCTGTCTCACTTCTTTTTTTGCTGGCTCCCTGTGTGTCTCAGTGGACATACAAATAATCCTTACAAGCCAGAGGTTGAGGCTTCAGAGTAAAAGCTGATACTCTGCTCTCTATGGTGTCAATGACAATGTACCCCATTTAGTAATCTTTGCTCTACACGTTTTTAAAAAAATGTTTTCAATGAAAGGGGCAGCCAATCAGAGGAAAGCAGGCTTGCGGGGGAGGGGATTCTATGACTTGTTTCGGACAGTAATGAACTGAGACACTGCACCAAGAGCAGGACCAAGGCAACATAAGGCAACACCTAACACGAGGCAGTAAACACCAAGCTAAAGCTACTGTAAAAAGTGAATAAAGATCCAGGCAAATCTTAAGACTTTATACAATTTTATCAGTTTAGTTTTTTCTAATCAAGGTAGCCTAAATCATTTATCTGCATGCAAACATGGCTAAATATGATTCAGTGCTCTCCTATACATAATACTGCGTCTTCAAGTCGGAACTAAGAAATTAAAAAAAGCTCAGTCTCTGCATATATGCAGCTCCACTGTGCAGTGTGACTCCCTTGACAATTAGCAGTTAGTGCTATAGCAGGTAGATTGTTGAAGAAATCATCTAATCATCTAATCTTCGTGATAAAGAATTGTAATAAGCTAATCCCATTGCATCCTCTGCCAGGTTTCTGGTAGTTTTCTGGTGGAAATTCTGGCCAAGCAGTACTTTACTCCATGAAATGCCAACTGGATTTTATCCAAACACTGAAGCCTTGTTATGTAATCGAAAACTGTGCAATTTACTGGTATTGTAAAGTTTTAGAAATGGCATAGTGTGGAGGAACTATTCTTACCTGACATCAGTAGGCGGATTCTGGGTGAAAGGATTATGAGAGCAGGCCAGGATCTGGACGATGGCTCCAGGGTAATAGGTCTCAAACACCTCCACTGCTGTCGGGTAGACGGGCTCCTCAAAGCCTAGCTCAATGTAATCCTTACTGTAGAAGCCTTTAGGAGTGCGACGAAAAGGCAGCGGAGCACTGGCACACTGTTCCCACCACGTCCCATAAGTTCTGAATACAGCTGTCTGGGTGAAGTCCCCTGAGCTGGGGTAGACGTTAGGCACCCCTGCCAGGTTCCACATGGTGTAAGACATGCTATTCTCACTGCCATAGTGGGAGCTGAAGTCCAAAACCTCTTTGGCGTACTGCTCCACCTCCACACTGACTGGCAGTACCGCTCTCTGGCCAGATTCCACAGCCCGTCGACTGGTCAGAGCCTCGCCTCGAGTTCCACTCCTGGAGCGCCGCCGCAGACAGATATAGTAAAACATGCTCAACAGGGTTAACATAGGGAACTCTGGGACTGATGGGGGCAGTGGGGAGAAACGGAGTAGGAGGATAACCCTCCACCTACGGGTAGAACATTATCTCAAGCGCTGGGGATGAACAAAGCGCAGGCTAGAAGGCTGGCTGCATGCATGACCTGTGGGTTAGGCAGAGACAAACAAGAGTGAGAAGAGCAAGACAGCAGGTCTAAGACACCACAGAGGGACCAATTTCTGCTTGGTCCCGATATAAACTTGATCATTTTGGATATCTGAATCCTAAATTTAAATGAAAATAGCAAGAAGCAAAAATACATTTTTGGCTGAATATAAATTGAAGGATTGTAAAACCAAAACAAAACAAAAAAACATTCCATGTGGAGAAAGCGCTACTTTATGTTGTGCATGATTATACTAATAAATAATCAATACATTCAATACATTTCTTTGGGGTTGTCATAAAAAAAGACCTGCTTTCAACATAAGGTTTTTACATAACAGGACAAAAGATAAAATCATCCACCCTGTAGCAGGTCTTAAAATCAGATAAATGCAAGGTCAGAAGAACAACATCACATGACATATGACGCATCCCTACTCATTTAACAAAAATTAAGCCAAAAATACAGAAGCAGTGTGTGAAAGACTAAGCACATGCCTGGTTTCAGCAGCTTTTAGAGCCCTAATCATCACCCATCCACCGCCATGCATTACTGGCAAATATCTCCATATTAGCTCGTCTGTTTAAAGGACACTGTTCTAGAAGTCTTGTGCTTTGTTCAGATGTAACTTTGCAAATCTAAGCTGAGCTGCCATGTGTTGTTTTTTTTAGAAAGAAGAGATTTTCTCCTGAAATCCTTCTAAACAAGCCATACTTCTTCCAATTGTACCGTCTCCAAGCACAGTCTGACCTTGGGATGCATCTGCTGGGAGATACACTCCAGGGAAAATTGGCAACTGTCTTCAATGTTTTTGCACTTTTTTTTCCACTTAGAATGATAGACTTCAAATTGTTAGGAAATGGTCTTTTAACCCTTCCCAGATTGATGGACAGCAACAGTTGTTTCTCCAAGCTCACTGCTGATGTATTTCCTCTCTAGCATTGTGTTAACACACACCTGGCTTGTCCGTACCAGTAACCTCCCAGAGCTTCTGCTTTTTCATTTGTTAAACAAATAATGATGTTGTGCAATATGTAAAATGTTGTTGGTTATCTGAGGTTATATTTGTTTAAAAGGTAAGACTTACTAAGAACCATGTTTTGTAATTTGTGCTGATATAAAAAATGTTAATTAAAAGACAGGCAGCTTCTTCTTACCATGACTATACATGTATACTTACTTTTACATTTTGATGCTTTCTTGTAGACAAATGATTCATTTTTATACATTGACAAATTACAGCAAGAAGCTGGATCTAATTTCTAGCGATTTCTTCACTATTTTAACCACTTTGACACTTTCTGAGAAGAAGACTTGCTTATTTAATGAATACTTATTCTGCAAACAAACCAAGCACTTCTGCAGCTGCCAATCTTCGAAAGGTATAGCCTTGTACCGCTGCTTGCGTGTGGCATTTCTTCATAACTACATGCGGTAGTTTGTGGTTAAATGAAACACGGCAAGACATTTATCAAACCAAAATGCAAACTGTAGAGGTTAAATCCATGTTAACGCTTGACACCATCAGAAATCGCTAGCACTGACTACAATATTCAGGTTTCAAGACATCCTGGTACTTAATGGTGCCTGGTAGCCACAAATCAAGAGTGGCTACATGATACCAGAAACTTCTGGGTCTGGTGCCTGACACTCCTGCCTCACAGGTTTTCAGTATCACAGATTGACCCAGCTGTAGGCTGCAGTGAGCAGTACACGTTTGCCAGGGACATCCTGTGCTTATGTGTAAACAAACAAGTAGCCCTACAAGCAATAACAGGACACGAGTCCCTACCAACCCTATATTAACCGCCTTTAACATTAAAAAACAATTACATAAAAGCCAGTGATGTTTAGACAACAACCACGTTTTGATAAAACTAAAATATTAGCTTTAACTGTACACATGAAATACTAATAATACTGTAAAAAATACTACAGTTCTGACAATAATGTGGCCTTATTAATACTGTACGGGAAGAGAAAAGGAAGCGTAGCGTTTTCTGTCTTGCCAATGTAACCTTTGATATTTCATTGTGCATTTGAAGCTAGCTAAACTAGCCCTCCAACCTTGCTACCTTTGAAGGCATTTCGACATTACATTAGGTAAACGAATTCTGACATACGTAAGCGTACTTTAAGCCAGCTGCCAGGAAGAAACTGTCTTTTCCCAAGTCCTTGTTCAATAAACTGAGCAGTCTCCCACAGCTAGTGCTGTCAGTGTTAGCTAACGATAAATAGTTAGTGTTAGGTAGGCAGCTAGCTAACAGACACAGGCTGAGCTGTCAAAACATGAACTGTTAGCTTCCGTAATGGTTGCTGTGCAAAAACCGAGCGATCAAAGAGGACAAAATTTACAGTGAACGTAGATCAATGAATCCACTGACGAGGAAAAACTCTCTTCCTTCCATAGCCGTTCACAAAGATTTCAACAATCAAACATTCTTGACGTTTACCTTGTGTTGCCTTCAAGTAACAGTCGGCCAATGCATTAACTCAGAGAGCGCACAGCACAGTCAGCGACATAATCTGGGTAACCCTTCATCTTTGTGTGTTTTAAGTATTAGAGAAGTATCAGTATTATTACTACCACTACACGAGTTATTTCTACAAAACACGATGCACTGGGGCGAGGCTACAGGGGGAAAGTAATGCAATTTGGAAGACTGCTGCTTTTTTCTCTTTATCATTGCACCAGTGCGGCACTAAATAATTGACTGTGTTCAAATGTCGTGAACAAATGCGAAACATGGCCAATTTTGACTGTTTTTGTCAAAACGTGTGATTAAACAGGACGCGGAAACCTAAAAAACATAGAAGTTACGTATGAACTTTAAATGTCACACTTTAAATGTACAACAAATTATCAACATCCGGTCGGCTTCTTTTAAAGCAAAGGATTATGGGAAAAGTAGTTCTTTGGTTTAAAACAGACACTCAAAACATTCACCCCAGTTTCATGGTTTTTAATACATTTATAGATAATCCAGCGTTATCTATAAATGTAGATAATGTGTATTAAAACATACCATTAAAAGAATGGAGGAGTATAATAAGATTTCATTCTGTTTCAAGGCCATTCACAAACAACATAGATGTACACTATATACACACACACCCAAAAATAAAAGGTAGAGTTCGGTCAGCAATGGTGAAAATAATTCTTCAGCTTATTAAACCTTGGAGATAAAAAAAATTAAAACAACTGAAAAAGATTTTTTTTTTAAATAAAACACACACCAAAGGAGAACCAGTCATGTAAACAAAGAAAGATATGAGGTATAAGGTAAGAGCTAATTAAACAACAAGGACCAAGATAAAAATGTATTCAACTTTTTAGACATATTTCAGCGTCCTAAAATACTAACGTAATGTAAGAAAACAGTCAAAGAGGGAGTACAGCCTTTCGCTCAAACACAAGAAAACACAAGCAAACATGAATAATAACTCTTTCTCGTTGAAGGACCCATTTATTGGCAGGTGTTTGAGCAAAGGGGGTCAGAGGAGTTTAGGGAACACTGCTTGTTGCTCTTCTGCATCCAGAATATTGTTCCGCCATTGGGGCGTGTGGCAGTGGTGGCAAGGGGTTCAGTACTGGGAATGAGGTCACCCTGTACTGTCCTATTGACAGCAGGAAGTGGTGCAGCACCACAGCAAAGAATGCGGTGTCTCTGTGCGCTGACTCTTCTCCTGGTCCCGTCAGGATGTGATTCAAGCCTCTTTGGACAGTGATGTTTCCAAGAAGTTCATTACTCTTGGCAGTATTAGTGCTTAGAGAGTAATGGAGCAGATTGATTTCTGATTTGCTCCATTAGAGCAGAAATGAGCTTAGTCATTTCTGCTCTGATGGAGCATGTGAAAATAGCAGTGGAGAGCTGGTCTGCTTTAGCTAGGACTACTTAGAAAGCCATTTTACTAAACTGCTTGGGGAGAAGTGCTTAAAGGTGGCAACCAGGAACCTTCATCATCACTATCATCACCACCAAAAATCTCCTGCTGGTGCTTTCTCTTTCTCCTGGAGCACTCTTGATCCTGCCGGGTGGTCTTGTAATTTAAAAGCACTTGAAAGCACCCGTGAAACTTTTAAAAATAAATTAAAGGTACGGGAAAACATTTCTATAAACCTTTAAACATTTTGCCAATTTTCTCACATCTTCTCTTGGTTTTGTAATGCCACTTTATTTTTTAACAAGTAGCTGGTAATGTAGACATGGTGTACTCAAAAGGAAACAAAAAATAAAAAGCTAGCATGCCCACTGCATTTTCAAGAGTCGTAACTCTAATGAATGTACGCTACAATTTGTACAAATACTGAATATTATATTTTGGGGCTGCCAGTCAAACTGAATGTTTTTCACATGCTAAAAGTCTCTTGTCTACAAAAGAGAAGTCTGTCCTCCACCATCTCCTCATCACCTAAACTCTTCAACGATAACAGACAGCAAACTTCAGCTGCACAGTTTGTTATGCAACAAAATCCATCAAGTGATCACAAAAAAAGAAAGACAACTCAGTGTTTGCTGCTTGCTGTAGCGTCCTCATGGCAGTAAGTTTTTGGACTGCTTCAAGTGAAGTGTCCAGGAAGGACAAGTGATTTTCAAAAAAAAAAAAAGATGGTGCATGAGATGATGAAAGCGTCATGTCGAAGAAAAAGATGAAAATGTTTTCGCATTGCTTGGCAAACACTCCAAAGGCTATAAATACAAAGAAGAGTGAAGTCACAGTGGTGCTCTACAAAGGTTAAAGCAATTTGTGCTGAGCTATTGGTGGTTTAAGAAGTGTTTTATTTTTCCTGGGCACAAAAGCACACAGATCACACGTTTCATAAATCTGAAACTCAGCCATCTTCTTCAACTCGTGAAGCCCTCCTGCTGTAGATCGTTTGCTGGTTTTAAAACCAGCGGAGTAATAGACAAACAGTGATGTTGAGGGAAAAAAGCAAAAAACAAAACATATTCGCAGTTTGAAGACTCTTGATGGAAATCTGTAATAGACATCGAGGTTGAAATTATTGCTTCGTTATTGCATTAATATTAACTATGGGGAAATACATTACATAAAACCTAAAATAAATGTAGGTGCAACATTTTATGTTTGGTTTATGTAAGCGGACAGACACTTAAAAAAAATCATGTAACTTCAACCAGAACCAAAGGCTACAGGCACAAGACCCAAAACTGCTAAAAAAAACCCCTCTAAAATTAGTTGCTTCTGATGTTCTTTCCTTCCCTATCTTCTATCTTATCCTATGCATTGCTTTGAAGAGTTACTTTCCTCCTGTATATTTGCTTCCTTTGATTTCACTCATTGGTTTCACCTGTGGTCTTTCTGCAAGTGCCTTGCTTTACTGCAAATTTTGCTATCAATCCAATAACAAGGGTCAGTATTGCAGATTCCAATACCAATACTTATACTATAGAGGCAGCTTATACAGGAGACAGCAGCATGATTTATGAGCTGAGTCAACATCAATTTGCAAATTATGAACACATTTTAATGACCACTAAATCACTGTGATTTTTACTTTGCACAATAATTAGTTGATAAAACAAATCACATCTTTCAGCTTTTCATGTATTTGGAAACTGGGTCTTTTGGAGAGCTGGAATGCAGCAGAGATGCAGTGTTCATCTCTAAAGCACTTTGGGTCAGCTTCTGTTGTTTAAATGTGCTATAGGCTATAAATAAAAAAGACACGGCAGTCACACAAAGTTTCAGTTGTTTATTATAGTGCAGGTTTAAGGCACATTTTTTCACTTCCAAAATAAAGTATACTAAAACAACCTCATACAATTCAGTGGGTTACAAACTGAGCTTAGGTGATAATGACAAAGTATCGATCCTATCGTGCTTGTACCCGTTTTGGTATCGATATTATCAATATTTGGATCGATCCACCCACCTCTACATTCTATCCTGTGTGTACAGGGTCTGCCTGTGTCTCCACGTCTGTAGTGGGATCATCTCTTTGCTCTTCATTTGGCTACCTCTCAGTTCTTGTGCTGCTTTTGGGAACTCTCTTTTGGACTTTGGGTACAATGTTTTTTGGGTCACCCCCAAAAAACATTTTAATTTATTGTCTCTGCTTGTCCCTGCTTCCTGCATTTGGTTGCTCTCTTGTACATTGCTACCTTGATATTGCACATAAGAGAACATGTATTAATCATATAAGAGAACATGTATTAATCATATTGAGACCATGACAGAATTCAGTGTTTGGCATCACCTCTCATAAAACTTTAGTGATATTCCAAAATACACGCACACTCTCCACCCTGTATCCCCTGATAATTAAGAGCCTAATAGATCTTGCGTATGATGGCGGTCGCACTTTGGCTGGCATTTTGCATCGTTGAATGACTTGTCCAGTTGCTCAGTCTCTGCAGCACACCGAGGCTCTATTGTCAAAACCAAAAGACCAGAGTGCCTCGACACACCCGCAGGCGACCAATCATGAGTCCAGCTCTCATTAGCAGGCATCCATTGTGGGTGACAAGTGGAGATAATTACCTTTGACCACAAGAGCTCTCTTGTTCTCTCCCTCTGTCATAGAGACTGTGTCATAGAGTGTTATGGACACTTTACAGATAAAAATATACCCCATCCTGCTAAATCTGTCACTTTTTTGTAAAAATAGGAGACTTGTCTATGGCTTGCAAGAAAGGTCCTTTGATTGTGATACTAATAGTTCTTGACCGTGATGAACAATTTCACTTTGACATCACCGCATTATATCTGCTGATGCTTGAACATGTTACTACAAGATCAGATTAACTTTCACAGCATGACATGTTTCTTAGCAAATCCTGTACTGGGTTTTCATCACTTTATCTTGATTGATCTCTGTCTAAAAGAAGACTGTAACACAGAAGCACATCAGAGACAAGGATGCAAACCCCCCCACTCACCCACACACACACACACATATAAAGACTACCCAGCCAGATTTAGAGTTAACAAGAAAGGATGATGTGAATAGGGGGCTACTGGGCATGCTCTGTGATTGACAGGCCAAGCTGCTGTCAGCTCCTCCAGGCAAGCATCAGCGAGCAGCAGTCCTGCTACTGTCAGAGCTCTGTTCTGGTCCACTGTGCCACACATACATATGCACATGGCCGAGCACCCACAAATGCAAATCAGGTTGGACACACACATGTGTACACACACACACACACACACACACA